CAGGAGGTGGGGATGGGGGGTAAAAAGAAGGAGTAGATAAACATAAAGGGAAAAAAAATGGGGCCCCAATCGCTTCTGGCTTGTAAGGTCTCTGCTGAGAAATCTACAGTAAGTCTGATGAGTTTTCCTTTGTAGGTTAATTTTTGCTTTTGCTGCTTGTAGAATTTCCTCCTTCATTTTTATTTTGGCCAAGTTGATGACTGTGTGTTTTGGATATGTCCTATTTGCTATGAATATTCCTAGTGTTCAATGACCATCTTGTATCTGGATATCTGAATCTCTGTTGATATCAGAGATGTGCTCTTCAACAATTCCATCAAATAGGTTTTCCATTTTGCTTTTTCTTCTTCTCCCTTAGGGATATCTATAATTTGTATATTAGCTCACTTCACATAGTCCCATATTTCTCTGAGTGATTGTTCATTATTCTTTATTTTCTTTCCTGAATCTTTGACTGACTGGGTTAGTTTGAGAGCCTTGTCTTCAAGCTCTGAGATTCTGTCTTTTGCTTGGTCTAGCCTATTGTTGAAGCTTTCTGCTGTATTTTGAAATTCCTTAAATGACTCTTTCATTTCTTTAAGTGCTATTACATCCTTTTTTATACTGTCTATCTCTTTAGCAAGTTTTTTCATTTGTGCCTGAAATATTTTTTTTTGGCTTCTTTGTATTTGTTTTCAACTTTCTCTTAAATCCCATTCATCTTATTTGCCATCCATACTCTGAATTCCATTTCTGACATTTCAACAATTTTCTTTTGGTTGGGGTCTGTTGCTGTAGATCCATTGTGATCCCTCGGGGGTGTGTAACTAGTTTGTTTTCTTCATGTTGCCAGATTTCTTTTGCTGGTTTCTTCTCATCTGAAACTTCTTCTCTCAGCTCAGGGCCGGTAGGTTTGCAGTGCACATGTTCTCCTTTGCTGGGAACTTTCCTACCTAATGAGAAGAAGCAGAGGTCCCTAAATGGTGTTTTTGTGACCTACTCTGGAGACTGACACTGCAGGGGAGGGGTAGATGAACTGAGAGCCTATAATGCAGCTGTTCAGTGTTGTCCCATTCCCCTGTGATTGTCATAGTTCAAAGTGGTGCTGGATGCTCTTCATGCAGAATGGTGGGTTGTTCTTCAAGCCGCTGTTGGAAGCTTGGATTGGAGGGCTGGGCGAGCCCCTCTTGACCAAGGCTGGTGTTGCAGGAGATTGCACTACTCCATGTCCCCGCGGTGGTGACAATGGTAGTTGAGCAAGGCTATCTAGGCAGTGATCATGGATGTCACGGCTGCAGGTGTTGGATCCAACCCAGCCCAGATGTGATGGTGGCTGCAGGCTAGCAGGTTGCTGGCAGAGTGTTGGACTGTGGGGCAGTTCCAGCCAGGCAGCCAGTGGGAGCAGTGGTGGTAGGGCCATGGGGTCTGTAAGCAGTGCTGCATCCTTTAGGGCAAAGCTGTACTGCCCAGTGTTAGTACTGGAGCCTTGGGGGTGGGCTGCGGGGCCTTAGGGCAGAATCATGGGATGAGGTGGCAATACTAGAGCCTTGGAGACAGAGCTGCAGGGCTTCCCGTGTGTGGACTGCCCTCCACTGCAGGTACCTTACAGACTTGCTGAGTGGATCACCCCATCACCTTCTCCTTCATTCTTAGTGTCCCCCGTTGCTTCTCCAATGACTCACAATGCTCTTTACAAGAAGGCCCATAGGTGGGCATCCATTTGCAACTCTCGATCCTCTCCATGAGAGCAGCATGCACAAGCTGCTTCTAGTCTACCATCTTGCCCCTGCTTCATAATTATTTTACTATTATCTATGCTTTTGAGGTTTGTATGTCTACAGTCTCTGTATAGTGGATATGCTATATAACAGCATGCTACCGCACTTGTCTTCCCAACTGTGTGTTCAGTGACATTACTTCAGTAGCTTTAAATTGGCCACCATGGGACTATTTACACCGCAGAAATCAGCAAATGCTACAAATCCAGGGGTTTTTCCCCTGAATACTGATGAGGCATTTACCAGCACACCATACTTCAAGGCAGCCACCACTGACCAGAGATAACAGAACAGAATACATCCTGTCTATCTCTTCCCAAACCAGCCATGCCAGTTACAGGCCATGCATACGGAATGCCTGAGAGCTGTGCCTGTGCCCTGTGGGAAACTCTGAAAGAGTTTTTGATTTTGAGGACTTTCTTCAGCTTGATAGCTACTTTGGAGGAGTTTTGAGTTATCACTTTGCTACAAGTTCTTCATCACAACTGTATCCTGGCTTCCCTTGACATCTGGTGTTTACTCTAAGCTGAGGTTTCAGGGAAGGGAAGTTGGAGGCCAAGGGCAGCTCTTAAAGACAGATGGGCAGAGTGTCTGCTTTGGCACCAACCAGGGAATGGGCAGCAATAGTCTGAGTAAGCCCCACTCACCTGCAGGTGGGGAGAGCCTGCCAGGTCAGCCATGCGCTTGGCATCCGGAAGAGAGGAGCAAAGTCGGCCATGGTCACAATGAGGGCAGAACCCTCACTGTGGAATATTGTCACCCAAAAAGGGATGGGTGGCTGTAGGGCTTTCTGGATGGAAGCATAAACGATAAAGTATACATGTGCATATAAGTGGACCCATTTTGGAAGACAAGGCCACTATGAATATGGTTTTCTAGCAATCTAAACCTTATGTATCATCATGCAGGTCTTCATAGGATAAGCAAGAACAAGAAGACTTTCAGTTTTGTTCTCTAGTATAATTGAAGACACTTTGATGGTAGAAGGTACTTCTGTCACCTGGAAGATAGATAACAGCCTGTAATCAATGCCTTTTTATTGTACAAATAAAACAATCCATTAAATCCATTTTTTTTTTCAGAAAACACACACACATAGATGCATTTGGATACTCCTGCAAATTCATATTTTAGAACAGTGTTTCTCAAATTAGTTATTTGAAAGAAACCCAAAGGAAAATGCAGATACTTCCACAATATGTCCTTGCTCTGTTGTAGCTTATAATTGTGAACTTTTCTAAATTGTTACAACCCTGGTTGTGGGAATATAACAGGTTGTAGAATTGGAGAACATTAAATCTTTGTTTCTAATGGCAAAACATGTTTTTCTCATTTTCATCAGAATGTGTGATCCATGCCATTTGAAATCAAATTCCAAACACAATGAGCCATTAGTGTAATAGCTCATTACTAACAGCGGTCTTATAAATAATACATTCTTATCATGCGCATGCAGCTCGCGGTGAAGCCAGCAAAAGGTATTTGAGGCCATCGAAGTTTCGTTGCGCCAGCATGGCTGTAGATTAGAAGGACATCTCCATGTGAACCAAGATGGATGCCAATTTTCCCTGCAGAGAGTGAGGCTGGCCGTCTCTTTCTGCACATATGGTAGATGGATTGGTTAATCAGCGTCTGCTGAGTCTTGGGCCTAAAATTACAGAGAAGCCAGACAACCACAGCTAGGCAGCCTTTGTTCACGGGTGCAAACAAGACAAACAATCACTTGTTATTTGGGAAAAAAATTAAAATGTTTATTTTGGACTTTTATTAAAGTGCCAATGGCTTTATGAAACAGCTGTGTAAATCCAGACTTTTACAGCAAGTATCATTTTGGGGGGGCTGTAAAGAAAGGAATATGCATAGAAAATTAATTTTTAAAGATTTCCCTTGTATTTCAGTATTAAGGAAAAAATAAAGGGAGTCTCACATGTATTTTACAAACACATGTTTAAGAACAAATGATTTTTAACTGGAAGACATATTTAAGAACAAATAGTTTAATACCTAATTTTTTTCTGTGTCATTAAGACTGAGCATTATGATGGCTTGATTCTGTGTTTTAGTAAAGCATTAACCATTTTCTCTACCTGGGCATTTATGGAATGATGCTGCATTCTTGGGAAAAGGGAATGCCTGTAGATTGTTGAGTTCTTCTACTTTCCAAATGGAATGGTTATCTCAGAAATAAAGTCTGGATAATTGAAGGATAGGACCCAGCAAATGCTGGTTTCTAATAACAGCTGTCAGAATTTGCTTAAAATCTACTTAATAATCAACAGGAATTATTTATTGCAATTTAAAAGACTGTGTATTCTCTTTCTCTTTTTAAATTTTAGATACTTTCCTTGCAGAAAAGAATAAAATACAGAATTATCAAAGGGACATAATAAGGAACTTCAATCACAGTCATCTCTCAATGTGGAATATGATAGAATTAAAATCTGGTGTTAATTTATAATATTTTGGTACTAATAATAGGTCCAGATCAAATAGCTACTCATCTTTCCACCTGTGTATTCCTCATCAAAGACCTAAAATCACAGACACCACTGCAACAGCTTCAGAACCAAGTGCCTATCAGGATACTGGGAGGTGATGTGTTTGCAGATGAGGCCCATCTGGTGAGCTAGCCCGGCCTGACTCAGGTTTACTTCACTCAAATGTTTTCCACCAAATCTCTATTCCTCACATCTCCTCTCCATCATACCATCGGATCAGTAAATGAACGAATTCAAGAAAAATTGAAAAGTTTTTACCTGATATGGAGCTAGTGACCATGAACTTCCTGTGCATTGGGAGCCAATCAGATGGGCATTGGAACAATGACTCATCTCACTGAGAACTGTGCATGGTGCAGGGGAGGAAAGTGAACTGGAGGACGGGGCTTGTGGCAGGATAAAAAACAAGACAGCAATGGCAGAGGATAGGGGGCAGGCAGGGGCGTTTTCTGTACAAAGGGGCAGGTGTTAAGTTCCTATAGTTTCCCATCAAGAACTCTCTGGCAACTTCCAGAAATTACTTATGTACCTCTAGCATTGTCCACAGTGGTCACTCACTGGACACTTTTTTGAGCATGTCGTATGTGCTGTGCCTTTTGCTAGACATTAGATACTTTGTCCTCCCTTAAACATTTCAAAGTGCTTGCTAAACCTCCAACTGACCACATGCTGAGGAGTTGAGGAAGTTTCATGCTGAGAATCATTTGAGGTCTGATAGAGTAATGAGGTGTTTTGGATGTTTCAGGTGGAAGGCTTAGCTGTCGGGTTCATGAGCGTGTGCTCAAGAGTGAACACGGAACTGCTGCATGCCTGCTTTGACTTGGGGCCTTTCCACGGACTCTGTTTCCCACATCCCGATGATGTTCTGGAATCACCGCAAGAGCTAAATGTCCAAGGAAGTCAAGGTACAGTGGCTTTCACAGGGACATGACAGGAAATTAAATCCAAGCCTTATACACAACTCTGCTGTTTGCTACGTGATAGAACTAAAAGACTTAGTTCCTTAGACCCTTTAAGGACTAGTTCCCATGGCTAATCACATCCTTATGCAAATATCTATGAGCACAGAGAGTTAAAAGTGCACAGGTGTAGTTAGCCTTGCAGCTTAAGGTTTCCCAAACTCAGAATGTTCACTTTTGGAATGTTTTGTTAAAGTAGATATAAGTTATGGTGAAATAGTTACTAGTGTTTCAGGATTTTACACAATGTACACACACACACGCATGCAAAGCCAAATATAACAAGTAAATTTTTTAAATCAGGGACACAAGAAGTTCTATATGCTTTTAAGTCTTAATCCCAACAACTAGTGCTTCTGTGTTTATGTCTTTGACAAATCATTATATAGCATAGGTCTGTTACAAGTAGTCATTTTTAACTGGCTTAACTTCTTTCTAGCTCTATGAAGTAATAGAATCAATTTTAAAATACTGTCTATGTCAAGATTTTCACTAAGTGAAATTAGGTAATCCCAAACTTTTAATTTATTTACTTTTAAATTATGTTTTAATTTAATGAGGCCTTACCACATGCACAGGTATCTTTGCAGTTAAGTGTTTGGGTTCTTATAGCAGACAGATGCAGGCAGGCAAGTGACCTTGGGTACATTAATTCACGTCTCTAAACCTGGGTTTCTTCATTTGTAAGATGGGCATAGTGGTAATACCTCTCACAGAGAGGGGTTGTGAAGTTTCACTGAGATAAGCCATGTAAAGTGCTTTGCACAGTTGTCTTGAGTAAACTAAATGTTGATCATCATTAGCAATTGTTATCTCTTTGTGACTGGCCTTTCACCTACTTGAATCTTCCCAGGGTAAAATCAGGGTATTTTGAATTGCTCTGCTTTCTCCTCACTGAAAGATTATATCAAGGTTATTCAAAAATAGGAAGAGGAGCACTTTGGGTGTGGCAGAGGATTTGTCAATCTAGACAATAGCGGGTGACCATTTGGCTGATCTTAGCCCCTGGATGGGAAAACCAGGCATATGGGTGTATAGGCCCCATCTGAATATACACACTTTTTACAGAAAACTTCCAAAGCCATAGGTGGGCAGGTGTTTCCCTTTTATACTGATGACAATACCCTTCCCAAAAGAGAGATTTGAGGTCACCATTGTTTGATAGTGAGGGCTCACTCATCCATGCGTCTCAGTGAAGAGATATCACAGGAATGTTCTGAAGGAACTTTCAGCATAAGGTAATCTTCAACCATAAGTTGTGATTGTCATTTTCAAATGCTTAAATTCTTCTTTGAAAGCAGCTGTTTTTTTCTTCCCCTGTGGCTGTTGTTATGAGAAACAAGTTGAAAAGATATAACGTGTTCCTGAGTGGCTGCTAATATTCCGTACATAGAATGAACGGAATATTCCTGTCTTAGAAACTTCATTAGAGAATGAAATTCAAAACTTAAACTGAGCCCTGGATTCAAAACACACATAATCTAGTATATATTTGTCTAGCAAAAGCCCACAGGGATACAAAAACTAAGAGAAGTCCTAATTCTCTCTACCTCCTTTAATATTTTTACTTAAAATCAGTTGATCTAGGACAGGATGGTAAGTAAAGAAAAAGGAAAACTTCTTTTATCTTCCAAACCTCGTTTATTTTTGAAAATCAACTTTATGTTCTTTGACCCAAACATGATTCTTTATGAAATTTTCACCAGGAAGCTATTACTGTAGACTGACAAATAACTCAGGGACAGATTCACAAATCATCGACAGCTCATTATAGCTAAGAAAAGAGTCATCAACACATTTTGCTGCCATCTTCCTATCAACAGCAACAAAGAATGAGGCTCCAGAGAAAATTCTAAATGTACTGTAATCTGTTACTTTTTTTCTGATGAAAGTCTCAAGTGAAAGGAAATATAATTTCTCTAAAATGTGAACTAAAATTCTTGTTTCAAATAAGCAGACATCATCGTGTCTCATCTCCTATATTTTGTTTAGCACATTCTACATTTCAAAGGATTTTTATGTATATTCTCTCATTTTATTCTCATATGCAATGTAGGAGAGCAAGGGGAGGTGAAGTTCTCTCCATTTTATACCTGCTCAAGCTCGTCCAGGGTTTTAAAGCTCATCAGTGGCTAACCCAGAATGCAGATCCAGCCTCTCCCTGCTTTTGTGTAAGGTGACAGTCTTGGCAAGGTGACTTTTTATCTTGGATGGCTTTGACTGAAAACTCCAATGATAGGTCTGCTACACTTAGATACGTGGTCAGTTTTTTTCACTTCCACAAGTTATTTAATGAACGATCACTTCAATGATTCATCAATGACCTGCCCATATCCCTCAGACTTTATTTTGTGTGTATGTGCTCTGAATAGCCTCTATCTGCCAGAATCTTCACCTCCGTGTATGAAGGCTTTTTGAGAACTGTGGAAAGCCACTCTGACCTGCTCAAGAGGCAGGCTGGAAGTGCCAGAAAATTAACACTCCAGGAGCTGACTTTGCTTCCCCGCCTCACATCCCTGCTTCTCTGCTGGTGCTTTCTCTACCAACTCCCAAATAAGTGGCTGTATTTGAATCTTTGACGCGAGGTGTGTTTCCAAGGGAATCTAAACCAAGACACTACTGCTCTGGTCTTTTCCTACCAGCTTTGAAAGATTTATTCATACACAACTGATTGGAGTATAAATACCCCAGCTTCCTCACCCCTCAGGTGGGAAGACCCTGAGACATGAGTTTTGGGTGGTTTCCCAGGGTCCCAGCATGGGATTAAGTTCTAGCTGTCCACGGTGGTAATCCAAGGGATAACACAATTTTATTAGTTGCTTTCCCTTCTCTGTCTCTTCCTCACTCTCCTACTGGTGCTTCCTGGAATCACCTTCCACATATTCTCAAATCCTTGACTCAGGTCTGGTCTTTTCCCATCAGCTGTGAAAACTTGCACTTTTACCTCCTTTCAGTCAAAGCCTTCCAAGATAAAAAGTCACCTTGCCAAGACTGTCACCAACCCTTTCAAACAGAATAATATCAAGACTCAACGTTGTTAAACTCCTTTCTTTAGCTTCTTACATATATTATGATTAGCCTACTGTTCTTTATCATTTCAGCCTTATTATTTAGTTTCCAGTGAATCTAAATAGTTTAACTATGTACATTCAATTTGCATTTTACCTGAATAATTTATGTATGTTCCCAAAGCTACGCATTTTGCATCTATAACCTTTTATACACTTGTAGATTTTTTTTATGTACTAAACCTTGGGACTAAACTGGGACCTATGGGAATAAGTTCTAAGGATGTAAATTTTGTCCAAATATAATGAAAAACTCTTCTGTGTTTATGTATTTTTTATTTAGTGGAGGACATAGTTTAGAAGTAGCAAATTCCCATAATATTAGAAGAATTTGTAAAGAAACAGTCATAAACACTTAAAATGGGCTTTCTGCTTATGTGGGAGATTGTACTAAATGAGATCTAAAATCCCATTAAGTGCTAAGAGTCTCTGAAAACTTACTGAACACACATAGAGATGTTCCATATGCCTGGACAGTTTATGAATATTTTTCTTCAGCGACAATAAAATGGTTCAAAACAATATTTTTTCCACTTGGCCCCAGCGCTGGCCTGGCCTGATGTTTAATCAAGCTGCGTCTTTTGTTAGCCACATCATCACAATGAAGATTTTGGAATCAAAATTGAGCTGGCAATTTTCTTGATAATGCATAAGGCAAAATAGGGCACAGCCTGCGTTTCCACAGCTGTATTGGCATCACTACATTTAATAGTTAAAATAAAAAAATAAAAAGCAAAAACCAAAACTTTTGTTCCTCATGTAGGCCGTCGCAATCTGGGCAGCATGAATCTCTGTTTTAAAAGACCCCTGCAAGCTTCGGATTTGTAAATCTCATTATGCACCCAGGGCCCACCTAACAAAGTCTCTGTAGAACTTGATGTGCTCCTTGGCAGGGAGAAATTTAATTTTGTATAACAGAATTGTGGGCTTTCAAAAGAATAACTAGTATAGCCCCTTGTAACCAAGTCACCTAGGAAAAGTGTTGCTTATTATACATTTAAAAGGCCCTTCAAAATATAATTTTTGTAACATCCCCATGTAAAACATGGCAATGTTGCCTTTAAAATTTTTTAAAAATCACTCTTGCTGTCAGAAAATGTTTCTTTATGTCTTATTTAAATTTCTTTTCATTGAACTTAACATTCACATCTTTTTTCAGATTCTCTCTTCTTTTGGGAAACATCTGGAACCACTCTCCATGTGCTGGAGCTAAAAAACAATGGCTATATTAAGCCTCGCTTATTGTATATTAAATAGTCCCGGGTCTTTTAGCCTCTCTTCCTACGGTTTCATTTTATATCGCTGAATTCCCTTCTATTTTACTTGATTCTTCTTTTATAATAACATCGACTCTAAATAGGATTGAAACACTTCTCTATAAAGCATAGCAGTATTTCTGCCAACATATTTGCATTCTATATCTCAGAAAATTTATTTTAACACCCAGTTCATTCTGTCGTTATTAATATTTAACCTGTAACACACTAGGACCCTATAATAATCTGCAAGGGCTGCCATAACTAATTATCACAGACTGGGTGGCTTGAAAAATAGAAGTTTATTTTCTCACAATTCCAAGGCCAGAAGTCAAGGTGTCAGCAGGGTTAGTTTCTTCTGAAGCCTCTCTCTTTGGCTTGTAAAAAGGGCCATCTTCTCCCTTCGTCTTCACATGGTCTTTCCTCTGTACCATCTGTGTCCAAATTTCCTCTTTTCATTTATAAGGATACCAGTCATGTTGAATTAGGGCTCACCCTAGTGACCTCATTTAATTTAATTACCACTTTAAAGACTGTCTCCAAATACACTCACATTCTGAGGTACTGGGGGTTAAGACATATGAATTTTCGAGGGTAGAAGGTGACACATTACAGCCCATAA